GGGGGGGGGGATTGAGACAGTGTCTCACTATGTAGTTGAGACTGATCTGGAACTCACTATGTAGCCTAGGCTGGTCTCAAACTCACAGTGATCCTCCTGCCTCAGCCTCCTGAGTGCCAGGATTACAGGTGTGCGCCACCACACCCAGCTAAAAAAATGTTATCTTAATATAGCTCTAACTTTTTAAAATTCCATTTTCTTTCCATTGCAGTTCTCTGCTAGACTCCTCTCATTTTTCAAAGCTGGGTTTGTCCTGCACCCCACCCTGTTGGCTCCACTGACACAGGGGCTCATCTTCCAGGCTCTGTATTGCTCAACCATGATACTCACTTCTCATCATTTGCAAATTTGATTCCACTGCTTGTGATAGGGTCAAGGAAGAACCAGTCAAACCCAGGAAAGTACCGATATACCTGAAGACAAGATGGAAGCCATTTTCAGAAGTGCTAATTAAGGTATCTCAGCAGAAGGCAGGCCAAAAACTCAGTTTAATTTCTGGAATTCACAAGGTGCTGCTCACAGTGACTCCTTCAGAGGTGTGGGGGAAGAGGCAGCACAGGGCCAATCCTACCCTTACAGCGTCCTGGCTTTGTGGCTGGGGTTGCCCTGAGCTGCAGCCAAAATACAGCTCAGAAACCACTCAGCAAACACACGAGGGCCCCACTTCTGGGGAAATGAAGGACCAGGACTAATTTCTTCATACAGTTTCAGAAGAAAGCAACATCAAAAAATTAAGACAGGGCCAGGGATTTAAGCTCAGTGGTACCACACATGCCTTGCAAGTGCAAGGTCCTGAGTTTGGTCCTCAGTACCAAAAAAAAAATTAAGACAAAGTAAAGGACTCCTGGCCTGCATGAAAAAGAGGCCCCAAAACATACAGCAGCCCAGAGGCCCAAATTGGAAGGAGATAACAGCCAGACTTCAGAAGGGCAAGGTGGGGCCAGCTCTCCTGGAGGCACCAGCAATATTGTAGGCTTCAATTGAGAGAGACCAAGAGTTCAGACTGCCAAGAGCAGGTGCCTAGCTCACGAGGAAAATCCAGGACCCAGAGAGTAGGGGGCACCCTTAGTTCCACCCAGGGAGGGAGCCACACAGGCAAGTCCTGTGGGGCCAACTCCCCTCACACAGCCTATGGTGAGCCTCCCTCCTACCTGGATGTAAAGTTATGGATTTCTCAGGAAGCTCTGTAGGTGGGATATTGTATAAAACCAAGATCTGTTTCAAATAAATTCTATTCATTAGAATAAATTATTTTAAAAAAAAATCTATACTTGCCACTGAAAATGGATGGCTCTTTGCTTCTTCACGAATATTAGTGAATGGAGATTCCAATATAAGGGCATCTGGAGGTGTCTCTAGGTAAATAAAAAATAGAGGGGTCTGGGAGATGGGAAAGAAGCTGATGATAGACTGGGGCAAGAGGCCCCAGGTGAGTCTGAGAGGCCTCAAGTACCCAGCTCGCTCTAACACTGTGCTGCTGCCCCCAGCACCCGCAGGACATCTGTGGCAGGGCCCAGACAGTAACTGGTAAACCACCGCTTCCTTACCTCGCTCACAGAGCCGTCGCACCAGATTTGTCGCCACTCTGGGAGGAAAGAAAAATAGTTTGGTTAAAATAAAACAACAATGAAACAAAAACAAAATACAGTTTGGTTGAATCTTGACCAGAATTTTCCTAAATAATCCTGGCAAAGGGCTCTAGAGCTGCTGACTGGCTGGTGGAGGTTGCGGTCCGCCTGGAGGATGTCAGGATAGGGTGGCAGCACTTGGCACCCACCAGGCACAGGGGCCTCATGCCATCCATCCAGGGCTGCACCTGGCAGGTCGTGTGCCCAATCACAAGGACAGGCAGCATTCCTCTACAGGGGCCTCTCCTAGGCAAATGCCCATCTCCCCACCAGAGGCAGGAGTCCTGGCTAGATACTCCAAGTTTGCAGGATGCTGTCCAAGGAAGGATCAGGAGCAGAGAAAAGCAACATTGCTGCCCAAGGAAAAGGTGATAGGTAACAGTGCAGCCCCCAAATTGAGGCAACCACCCTGGATGTCCCATCAGTAGAACTATCCAAGCCGCCTGTGCCTGTGCCTGGGACATATGATGGCAGGCAAGGGAAGAGGACTCCCCTCCCCGACTCCACCATCTCGCTGATAAGACAGACAGGGGAAAATTACCTGCAAATGTCCCTGCTCTGTACCACGAGCTGATGGCCAGTACTGGTGCTCCAAAGCCAGGTCTGACACAAAGGGCACTTTCCCTTTTTCGTGGGGCATAGTCTCCATAACCTGATGCTCACCCCATCTCAGTGCAGGCTGTCAGTCCCGAGATACTCCTGGGATGAGGAGTCATGGTAGCCTGACCCATGGCCCACCTTTGTGGGACCCCATACCCACCCCAGGGTCAGAGGCAACAGGTACCTTCAGGGTTAGGGACATCATGCAGGAGGCCTACTCAAAGGCACCTCTTGCCGGGGGCTCTTACCCTGTGCCCAAGGAATGGCCCCAGATATACACAGGGTTGTCACCACTTCTTGCTTTGATCCAATCAAAAACATGGAGTGCATCATAGGTCATGCCCCGCTCCGATGGTGTTCCTACTGAGTCACCCCAACCTGTAAGACAGGATCAGCAGAGGAGGAAGTTCAAGGCAATTCAGGACCAGGCCAGTAACAGCAGAGGTTGACCTGTAGCATTCCACTTCCTCTCCAAAACTGGAGAAGGAGAGGACCTGGAGGTGATTCTGCCCCCAAGGATTGGACAAATCAGCCATTCCTGGGTACTCCAAGTGATGGACTGCACACCCGACTAGTGACTAACAGAACAGAGGTGATAAAATAATCCCAGAACCTAAGACACACCTCCAACCCCGAGGCCTGGTAGGGACAGCCAGGAAGGAGCAAACAGTCCAGCCAGTCAGAGGGCAGCCTGCCCAAGACCCACAGAAGAGGAGATCTCCAGGCTCAAGGTACTGCTGACCGCCCCAAGCCTTCTGCAGTCTCAAAAGAAGTTGCGTCCAACTGTATTTCTAGCAACTCAGTAGTGAGTTATCATCAAATGATCTAAAAGCACTACAAGGTTCAAGCTGGCTCTGCTGCATGAGCAAACCCCACAGTGAGTGCACAGGCTGCTTGCTCCGTGGCCCCAGAGACCCCAGAGGCGGAAGGATGAGGAAGGACAAGGCATGGACAAGGCCATAGGAACATGATGACAGAAAAAGACTAACAGAAAGACGAAGCGGGGAGCCAGACTGGGACAGAAAGAAAGGAAGAGAGAGACAGGGACACAGATAGAGGTGGAGCTGGCCTTCTCATGTAAGCTTAGCAATATAAGCTTGCTAAGAAAGGGAAAAACAAGATGCTGTGAGGATTTCCTGTCTGGGTACACATGAAGGGAGGAAACAGAAGGTGCCCCTTTATTGCACTAATGTGTGGCTCATAGCAGGAAGAAAAAGTCCTTCCCAGCATGGAGTAAAGGAGGAGGCAGGACAGAGGAAATAAAAGATAAACAAGAGACAGGTAAACCAAAACTAAAAATTTTGCACTTTTAAGAAAACTGCAACTTCTGCAACCCAGTCAAAATCACCCAAGGTTTCCATATCAGCATTCCCTTGGTTAAATTTAGGCTCCTTTCCTTCCAGATCCATCACACCCAAAATTCTTCAGGAATTCTAAACGTTCATAAATTGGCCTAACTGTAAAAGTAAAGAACAGAAACCTGATTCTAATATAAAGGAACAGGTTGAAAGAATCCAAAGTATGTTTAAATTATCCATCTTTAAAAAAATAAAACTGGGCCTATACCTGTAATAAGGCCAGTACACTTCTGGGGGTGGGCCACCATTTCCTGGGGTGTCCATCCCTCAAGAAAAGTCTAAATAACGGCTAGGGATTTAGCTCAGTGATTCTAGCACCTGCCTCGCAATCTTAAGGACCCGAGTTTGATCCCCGGTACCCCCCGACCAAAAAAAAAAAAAAGAGAAAAGCCTAAATATTCCAGTTTTGGGAAATAAAGTGCATCTCTTTCAAAGGTCTGCACTCTGTTTATGTACATCACTTTTGAATTGCTGCCTAATTTCTGCCCATGCCTCTTACTGCCCAGTCCTGAAAATTCTTTTTCTGCGATAGCAGCAGCATAACTATAAACCTACTCATCTACCTTTTGGGTAGAGTAGGTTAGATTCCTTATCTTAGCTTCAGGAACTTCCCTGGACCCTGTCCAGTGACAAGAGGATGAGTCACTTTCCAGCTTCTCATTTTATTATTTTTCTGGGCTACAACTTTGGGCGGTGGCCCAAAGAGCCCCATCTTCTAATCCCAGAATTGGCAACAATGCCAGCCAGGCTCTGCCAGAATTAAGGTGGCAGAGGGACAAGGGCTGCAAATGGGCTGACCTGGAGGCCAGCATGAACCAGATCATCTGGGTAGGCCCCAAGTAAACTACAAGGGTCTCTGTAAGTGAAGGAGAGGACAAAAGTTAGTGTTTGGGCTCGGCGTAGTGATACACACATTTGCTGATTACAAATTTCAGGCTACCCTGGGCAACACAGCAAGAGCCTGTATCAAATTCAAAACAGGGCTGGGAATGTACCCCAGTGCTAGAGTGCTTACCTAGCATGTGCAAGGCCTGGGTTTTAAACTCCAGCATTAAATAAAAGGGGCCAGAGCATGCAGCCTGAGACTGAATGTGCTAAAAGCTGGGTCCACGTGTGGAAGGGCCTTGAGCCAAGGAGGCCTCTCCCACTGGAAACACCAAGGTAACATGCTCCCCAGACACCTTGCTCACACCTTTATTCTACCTCAGCAGCTGAAGATTTTGGATTTCTGACTCTAAGAATTGCAAGATAATAAATCTGTGTTAAGACACCATGTTTCTGGTCAACTGTTACAGAAACAAAAGGAAACCAAAATCACCCCAACATACAGCCAGCAGCCTCTTTCTTCTATCCATCTTTGTGCGTCTTGGTCTGAGATGTCTACACCACTATCTATCCCCAGAGGGGTAAAGCAAGCTGGCCAAGCAGCCTTCCACCTGGAACACTCATACTGAGGGGCAGAGAATATTCCTCTAAGATACGGCTTGCTGGGGAGGCGCACACCTGTAATCCAAACACTTGGGGAGCTAAGGTAGGAGGATTGCCATGAGTTCAAGGTCAGCCTAAACTACACAGTGAGATCCTGTCTCAGACAGTCAGACAGACAGACAGACACATGGTTCCTTGTTCCTACAAGTATTTCCGCTGCCTGCCAACTACAATGTTTTCAGCACAAATTGAACTGTGTGCTCCTGCCCTGCCCAGTAGCCAAAGCAAGTCCACTCAATAAAGGAAGGAAGAACTGTGGGTGGGACAGAGGACTCCATCTTCCCTCCCAATGGCTCTTTCCCTGTTTTTAGCACTTCAACAAGATTAGCTCCACTCCTGGGCATAAAATGTGCCTGAGACCAGGTGCGGGGAAAGTCTGACTCCAATAAAGAAAAGAGACAGCATTTTCTGCATGCAAATGGCATGCTGGGGTCCTAGCCTCAGGGCCTCCCTACCAGGAGGGTTTCCTGGATGTCTATACTATCAGAAGTTTTGTCAAAATGCCCAAACTCTTCCCTAGCCCAACACAGTGGCAATTGCCACAGGTCATAGCGAAGCAAAAGAAGGCTACAGGCTCTGCAAGGTCCTCAACCTAAGCCTATCAGGGAGGATTAGGAGAAATGGGAGTACTCAAAAGAAGTCTCACCTCTGTAGTCAAAGGTGACCACATGGTAACCAAGGGTACTCAGCACCTGTGAAGGGAAAAAATGCATATGGTCTGGTAACAAAACCAAGCATCTCTGAATGGGGCCTCTTGGGACACCCACCCAGAACTCTGGGCTCCTGCCCTGTACGCAGGGGGACGTGACAGAGACTGTCAACACACAGTCCGGCTCTGATTACACCTGCTGCTGCTTGGATGGCTGAGGGCCCCGGAGAGCAGGAACAGCTCCTCTGTCTCTGGACAGCACTGCACTCCTACTGCAAGTGCCCAGGCCTCCTGGGCACATACAGCTTGCAGAGCTGCCAGCAGGCTGACCTACCAAGCACAAAAGCAGACCTGGCTGGGGGATTCCACAGGGATCCTTGCTGCAGCAGTCCAGCAGCCCTCAGGTGTTTTGCTTTTGATGAATTTTTTTCTTACTATTATTTTTTAAATACCTATGCCCTGTGCCCAAGCTGAGGTCCGCCCCAAGCATTATGAGAGGCGGCACACCACCAGCCCACAGCCTCTCTCTAGTATACAGAGAGCTGGCAGCACCTGCCTGGCATGCTGGCACCCCTTGCAGAACCTGCACCCAGATCAGCTCCAAGCCTACCCCAGGACACAGCAAGTTGTTTCTACAGCACGAATTGTGAGAGAACTGATCATTTCTCTGGCACTCGATTTTCCTAACTTGATCCAATTTAGTTAGTGGGAACCTTCCATGGCAGGGAAAGATGGGCTCTGCATCTGCAGATTGCCCTTGTGCCCACAGCAGATGCAGGTGCCCTCAAGGGGAGAGGGATGCAGGTTTGGGAGGCCCAGCATGTTATACCAAAAGCCCCATTAAGTCTGCCCAGAATCCAAGCCAAGCCATGCCACCACAGCTCCCAAGTTGAGCCTATACCTGGGTACCAAGGGTTGCTGCCAAAGCACATAGTTTCTCCTTTTTTATGAGGAATATCACCTTTAAGGACATGTTCATGCCTTTTTCGGTGTCTGGGAGATGGTCCGCCAGGTGTGCACTCTAACCTGGGAGGCCACCCCTCAAGGCAGAATAGCCAGGCCCTGCTCACCACATGGCCATCTAGTGACTCTCCTTTGTTCCGGCCTCCCAGGACCCATGCACTGACCTCTGGATTTTGATGCTTACCTTGTAGAGCTCCACTCGGTGGTCACCACCTCTGGCAAGGAAGGGAAACAGAGCAGGTGTTAGTATCCTTTTCAGAGTGGATCCTACAAAGTCTGAGATCCCAACCCCATTCCAGAGAGGGACCCAGGTGGACAAGTGACTTTCTCCTCGGGTCCCCTTTGTATCCACAAGCTTGCCTCTGGCAGTATCATGCCAGAGAAGCACTTAGGGAAGATTTTTTAATTATTGCAGTACAGTGGATCCTCCAGTTACAATCAGCCTGGCATATAAACAACTTGGGTTACAACTGGTATTTTATTTTTAACTTACGACCAAGTCTGAGTTATGACCTAAATGCCAACCGCTTGTGCTTTAAACAAATTAAATCCTTAAGAGTTCTTGAAGGAACATTACATCCTTTCCTCGGTGGGGTTGAGAAATCCTGGGCCAGTGTCTCTCTAAGAACTCAGATCTGCCTGTGTACAGGAGAGGGACTTTGAAGGCTGTGCAGAGGAACCTGAGCCTTCAGTTGACCAGCTTGAGTTAAACCAGTCATTGAGAATGAATTGAGTTTGTAAGTCAAGGGTCCACTGTACATTTCAACAGACAATGCATACCTATAGCCCCAAATTGAAGACATACAAAAGGAAACACAGCAGGCTCCCATCCCCTACCTCAGCTCCCCACAGCCCACTGCTCCCTCCCTGTGCTAATATCCCTTCTCACATGTACACCCCACAGGTGGGGCATGCTCCTGGACACAGAGGTACTGCAGCCATGACCTGCAGTTGCCACGTCTTTCATGTGGAGACTCTTACCATACTACGTGGGAATGGCTGACCTCTACACACTCCACAGCAGACTAGTTTCGCCAGACATTTCTTATTTCTGAAGCTGAACATGCTTTGCACACATCTAAATGTTTCACATGCTTACACTTCTGTCTGATGAACTTCTGTGCCCTCTGTGGTGACCACACAGCAGGTCACTGGGTGGGAGGGTGTTCCAGTGGGCAAAGGAGCTGTGGAGGAGCCTCCCCTCATTCTCTCTCAGCTGCTCTTTCCTAACAAGCATCAGCAAGGCCACTTCAGGTATGTGGGTGGGTGGTGCAGCAATGCTGCAGGGGAGACAACAATGAGATGAAAGAGGAAAACCAAGGCACAAGGACAAAAATGTAAAGGACTGTACTTCAAGACCAGAAGAAAATACTGCAAAACCTTTTGGTTATCTCTAGAAGAGTTATGATAGTGGTTTTCCAACTTTTCCAAATTCTCTGCAGTGAGGAAAAGGGAAAAAAGGCTGAGGAGCATATGGGGTCTGGACCTCAGGAAGATGGGAGTGCTGGGGTCCTGCAGGTCAATGGAGCAAAGCTGCCAGGGGCACCCCACTGAGGTCTGGTCAAAGATGGGGATCAGGGAGTGAGTGAGGCAGGCCCTCGAGAGGTGGGGCATCAAGGAGAATGCAGGCGAAATTGCAACACAGGCAGTTTGTGGAGTGGGAAGGATAGCAAACTTGACTGTCACCGTGCTCCTTTCAGACCTAAAGTTACAAGCAGGCTTTGTCTTTTTCTATCACATGACTAGCACTGCAGAACCGAGCCTTATTCATGCCAGCTACAGTTTCCCATTTATAGAAAGATGTTACCAGAGCTGTTTACATTTGCTCTCTGACAAGCAAAAGCAAAACCCACTGCAGCTTGTCCCCATAAAGAAGAGAGCAGACAGCGTGGTACACCCATCACTCTGGTAAAGCACCCCTTCTCCACATAGAGACCAGACATAGGCCATGTTTTTGGGCTCTTCTTACCGTGCTCCCTGCTCCTAGGCACAGACACCCACCCAGACGTGTTCTCCCTTCCAGAAAGGCCCACACACTGTTTTCTCTGCTGCTTCCGCTTGCAAAATGCTGACAGTTCTGCTACCCTTGCTCCAGCCCTGCAGGTGCCCTGCCTCCCTGCCACTGCCTCTGATAGGCAACCTAAGGAAGCTACAGAAATAGTGACCCTGAGGATTTCACACAATGCTCTGGTAAGGAAATGCACCTTCCCTCATCCTCCTCTGGACTCCACAGAAGTACTCCTGAAGAGCAGCGGTGACTTGGAGGGAACACAGGTTATCTTTGGTTGAGGACAGCAAGTCTAGTTCAAGCTGAAGGATGAGCAATTAAACCCACTCAAGAGATTCATCTGGATAAAACCATGAGGCCTGACCAGACAGAGACATAAACCTCAGCAGCAGCCTATTAGGATACACTGATACTGTTAGTATCTGGGTAGCCAGTAGAGCGCTCTGTGGTGGGCAGCCAAGGGGACTTACGTGGCTGCGCAGACCTGCACTCTGCCCTTGGAAACAGCCTGGAGAGAGAGAGGCTGGGTTCTTCTAACAGACGCAGTCTCCCACACCCCAACCCAGTGCAGCCACAGACAGGCTGCTCAGGGCTGCAATCCTCAAGTCTACTCTGCAGACCAGACTGCTGGCCCTGTGTGCACTGCCCTGTCTTACGAAAATTACCCAAACTGTCCCACCCCAATCCCACTGGAACTCTGCTACCCCTCTGCTCTTGGGATGTTCTCCCTCGCTACAGAAGGTCTGTGAGCCCAATTCTGTGGGACTACAGGTTTAGTTCTGGCTGGGCCCCACAAAGGAGCCGTGCTCTGCAGGAAGGATGCATCCCACATAGGCTCCTCTGCCTCACCTGGTACCCGCATTTCCGTGCAGGTACAGAATAATCGGGTGGCTGGAAGCCAAGGCATCCTCATACCACATCTGGTCCTTCCCTTGGGCGTTCTTCCACCAGGCAGCAGGGATAGTGTGCCTGGAAAAAGCAGCAGAGGTGGTGGCAGCCATAAGCAGGGTTATATAGGGAGAGCAGGGAGCCCACTACCTACTGGAGGGTGGAGAAGCTGGGGCACAATGTGTCCCAGTGATAGAATAAATAACCAGGAACAAGCTGCAGGGCCAGCTGCAGACAACCTCAGGAGCATTCCCTCAGGTACCTGGGAGTCTTCTGGGCCACAAAAGGAGGTCCCTGTAGCAGTTAACAGGGTAGGGGGGCAATACCGCTCTTCCCTAATAATTAGGTCAGAGCCCTCCAAAGCCCTCAAGCCACACGGGTAATAGGAACACACTTACTGTTGGCTCAAATGGCTCTACACCTGCCCAGGCACCCAGAGAAAATTGTTCTCTCAGGCCAAACTTTCCTTCAGAGCAATACTAAGGGTAATTTTAATTCAGGTCAAACTGGGGAGCATCTGAATCAGGTCTCTATAAACCTTCAAATTTATTCTACATACCAGTGACAAGCATCTTTTAAGAATCAAGTAGCCAGTTTTCTGTCTTTTAGAGCTTAAGTTTCAGTATTCTACTCTTTCCTTTCTTTTGTACTGCAGTTTGAAGCCAGGGGCACTCTGCCACTGAGCTGCATCCCCAGCACTTTAAAATAAACATATATGTTTATTGTAACATATATAAACACGTTAGTTAATACACACATGTATTTTTTTTCCTTTTTTTTGGCTTTTTTGAGACAGAGTCTTGAGATTATCTATCTATCTATCTACCTACCTACCTACCTACCTATCCATCCATCCATCCATATCTCCCTCCAAGCTGGCCTTAAACTCACTCTGTATCCTAGTCTGGCCTCAGACTCATGACAATCTTCCTGCCTTAGCCACTTGAGTGCTGGAATTACAGGAATGTGTCACCCTACCCAATAGCATCTCATCTCTGACCTGCTCAAGAGGACCACATTTTGGGGTAGAACTGGCCACTACAACAGTCATACACCTGTGTACTTTAAAGGTGCTGGTGCTGACCAGCTTCCAGAAGCCAGTCTACCCAGCTCCAGGCTCCTGATCAATGAATTCTCCAGGAAACTCCCAGCCAGCAAGAAGGTTCTATTCCTGCCCTCATTCCCCTACCCCTCTCCCACCCCACACCAGGTGAGAGGAGCTGAGGCCACAAGGCTCAGGGTGCTGCTGGGAGACTCTCTCAAGGCAGTGCTGCTATCCCCTCCCCCGCCCCCCCCACACCAGGTGAGAGGAGCTGAGGCCACAAGGCTCAGGGTGCTGCTGGGAGACTCTCTCAAGGCAGTGCTGCTGGCTGGCCTGGTGGGCAGTGAGTGCCCATGGTTACCACAATGGTACAGGGGCACAGACGTGGCAGCACTGGCACCCAGAAACTCACCAAGTGGCTGTCATTACCTTGAATCTTGCCACTGTTGTCACAGACTTCTCTGGGCAGGCGGTAGTTTATGTAGGTGCTTTCAGACTAAGGACCAGTCCACCAACCCTGCCCCACAGCAGGACGCCTATGCTCAGAAGGGTGAGGCCCAACTCCCTTTCTTCAAAAGGCTCTAAGCATAACAGGTCAGCTTCTAATGGGCACGAGGGTCTGAGAGTTGTGCCAAGTCACACCAGAGCATGACAGACTCCAGCCCAGCACCAACTAAGAACACACTCGCCCTTCTTGTTTTATGTTTTTTCCAAATGTCTGCACATCCTCTCGCTCACACTGGGAATCTACTCATGGCATTCCATTTACAAGCTTCTCACATACGCAGCAGTTTTCTGACAGCAGAAAGAGACTTCATGGCTACAGAAAAATAAACCCAGCTAGATGAAGGAACAATGACTCAGAGCTGCTTCTAAGAGAAAAAATAAAGTGCCAGCGAAGTGCTTGATCCATCCTGATTCAGTTGTTTGGTAATACCCACTTTAATTCAGAGAAAAAATATTATAACACACTCTCAAGGAAACACAGTGAAGTTGCAGGGCTTAAATTCAATTTAAAAAAAATTTTTTTTGAGACAGGGTCTTACTATATTAGTTCAGGGTGGCCTTGAATTCACCATGTAGCCCCTGCTGGCCTCCAACTGGCGGCAATTCTGTCTCAGCCTCCCAAGTGCTGAGAAATACAGGCATAAGCCACCATACTCATTGTAAATCCAATTTAAATTTAAAGCAAAAACAAAAAAACAAAACAGTAAATAATTAGAAGATGGCAAAAACTATCACTCCTGCTGAGAAGTTCTGCATATGAAAAGAAACCACTACTGTTTCCAATAGGGAGACATTCACTTCAAAAAAGTGCATTCACAGTGTTTGCCATTCTGTGTGGATGTGCTCTTTGTTTCTAGCTTGCTCCCCACTCCTTCAGTTTACCTTGGACAGAACACTCTAAAAATAATCTGGTCTTAAAGCCTCTGCTATTAGGAAGACCCCAGAACAAAGACTGGTGCTGTCTTCATCCCGTACCGTCAGGATCAAATTTAGCTGAGATCTTCCCTATGGAACAGGAATGAGTAAAGAGAAAAATCAGCAAGCGACACCTCAGAGCTGCCTGTGAGGGGCACTGGCTACAGCTGCATGGGACACTCACCAGACTCCAATAGTCACATCTTCCTCTGGCTGGAGGTAGTAATTGCAGGTATGATTCAAACCTTGCTCCTGTGGTTTTTTCAAGTCAATGAAGTAGGGAACCCTCACTGCAGGGGACAGAAATGGGAATCAGGGTTAATGCATGTTCAGGGGCACACAGACAACTGTGCACACTCACGCACACAGGCAACCTGCCCACAAATGCACAAAAATGCATGCACACATACCCGCTGACATGTGCACAGCTCACCCACACACACACCTGCATATACACAAGTCCACATGTGCACTGACCCCTACACACAGCAAGGTGAAGCTCCCATAGGGTCTGTCAGACCCAGGCCCCCAGTCTCAGGCAGGAGTGGGGCTGAGTGTGCACTGGAATACAGATGGCTCCAAAGACAAAGCTGTCTGGGCGGGGTCTAAACAAGGCCTGGAACCAAAAGATTGTTCTAGATGTAAGATATGCATGAGGGCATTTAAAGGGTTAGGGCAGAAGGGCACAGGAGCCTTCAGAGGAGCTCAGCTAAGCCATGGGTGAAGCCTGAGGCTTTGGGTGGCAGGGACCATGGGGCAGGGATGACATACCAGATGGTTTGTGGCTAGAGCCAGAAGATTCAAGGACAAACTGAAATTAGGAGGCAAAAAAGTAAAGGAATTTGGAAGTGTCTAACTTAACACAGAAAACAAGATGTGGAGCAGCTGAACAGATGAACCCAGAGGACCTGTTCATAGTGAGTGAAGTGAGCACAATAGCAACAGGAGTCCCGCAGTGAGCCGGCCAATGAGACAATGGCTGGATCAACAGGTGCTCCACTGGAAAATCATGGTGTTAGATCCAAGGGACAGCAGTAAGGTCCTGTGGGTGCCATGCAATCCCACTCTGTTAATGTAAACACCAGCAAACAGCACTGATGTTCACAACCACACCCACGTGTAGCACAGGAAAAATAGATGCACATGTCAGGTATGTGTGGCAACACCATTTGTTATGGCTTAGATCTATATGGACCTTTGGAAGAGAATTCAAACTATTATAGAGAGCTAAGTTAGGGAGAGATATGAGCAGTCACACAGAGCTAGGCTCTCAAGGGAATCAGTGCAGAAGATAATGCATTACAGGGCCTGGGATTTAGCTCAGTGGTTCTCAGTGGTTAGTTAGCTGGAAAAGGGGTCTTCACAAGGTAATGGAACCTGAATTAGGTCATCAGAGAAGATCCATCCCTTCCTAAAGATCTTTCTTCTTTCCACGTACACTTGCTGCATGATCTGCTTCCCCACTGGATCAATTATTACCTAAGCAACTATGCTTGTAATCTTATTGGTCATCACAGTTTTTAATCATGTTACACCCAATCTTCTTTCCACGTACACTTGCTGCATGATCTGCTTCCCCACTGGATCAATATTACCTAAGCAACTATGCTTGTAATCTTATTGGTCATCACAGTTTTTAATCATGTTACACCCACCTCCAAATTTTACTCTATAAAACTTCCTTTGAGAAGTGGGCTCATTGGCAACTCACTTTCAGGTCCCCTCCTGTCTCTCAGGAGTTCTCTCTCTCAACAAATATTTCCTACTGTGGCCAGGGATTTAGCTCAGTGGCTCCACTGCCTGCCTCACAAGTGCAAGGTCCCAAGTTCAATTCCCGGTACCAAAAATAAAAAATAAAATAAATAAATAAATATTTCCTAGTTAAAAAAAATAATTCCTACTCTTAACCTCCATTGTTCCTTAGAATTTATTCTTCAATTTTGAGGAACATGAACTTGGTGTATCTAACATCTAGCTGGTTGGGAGTTACATTTATTTCTCCTATATCAGAAACACAGGGGAACTACAGCTGACTTGCTGTGAGCAGGTGGGGCTTGGTAGAAGCAGTACCTTGTATCCTGACAAAAATGGCAGCTAGTGACAAACAGCAGGACAATCCTGACTTCTGGCCAACCCTGCTGTCTAGGAGGAAGCCACAGCTGCTGACGGCTTTCTCCAGTGAGGAGGGGGTTTGCCATCCCACATGACTAACTCTCACTTCCTCAAGTGTAATCGAGACTCTAGGAGTATTTGCTGAATAACTTCATCATCTGACTCATAAGGACAAAGGACATACATGCTTCTTCCTCAGACCTGCCTGAACCTACTGGGGATGAATCCTCCCTGGATTGTCTACACCACCAGCTTCTTAATCTACCTTTTCCCAAGGAGCCAGCTAAACTTTTTAAACTCCTAACTTTCCTTGTTACAGCTGAGTCATAGTCCCATAAAAGACATGTTGAAGCCCACCCCCTCCTACACACACCTAAAAATGTGGCTTTAGCTGGAAAAGGGGTCTTCGCAAGGTAACGGAACCTGAATCAGGTCATCAGGGAAGACCCTAACCCAGCACAACTGTTGTCCTGACAAGAAGGGGGAAGCCACATGAAGAGGACCATGAGCATCTACAAGCCAGGGGAGACAAGGACTGCTGACCCCTGCCAGATGTAGTCAAGGGCAAGAACTGCATCCCAGGTAGTGCACCCGGCTGACAGTGTGGACTCAGACTTCTCGTGGCCTCCAGGACTGTGAGGGTAAGTATTTGTCTTCCTAAGACTATAGGGGCAAATGTAAGGAAATGCTGTATGCCATACTGAGGAGCTCAGGTTGTATCCTGGCTACTGGACCCAGTGAAGGCTCTGGCCAGAAGGAAGTCTGGAAAGTGTGCCCGTATTATCAGCCGCCCCTGCATTCCAACTCTGTGACTTCACTACATGTCTTAGGACCTGCATGCAGGTTGTGTTTGATGTCCCAGGCCATCACCTGACTACTATAAAGTAAAGGGACCCCACAATGGAGCTCACAGTCAGTCTACACCTGACTCATTCAAGTCACCAGTCTCAGAAGCTGGGACTGTCTACCCTGCTCAACAGAGGGCAGTAGTGTGGAGGGCAGAGGCCATGTACCCATGGCTTAGTCTCAGGCCTCTCTCAGTTCTCCATCCACCACCTGCAGTTCTGCTGGTACTCCATGAGAACTAGCCAGCCCCAAGAAATTTAGGAACTGAGAAGTCAAATTCTACTCCAGGACAACCTCATTCCAAGACAACTGGTCTTCCACTTTTATTTTTGATTTAAAGAATAAACTGTGAACTGTGAAGAGGAGGCACAATGAAGGCCTTGCTTTATTCCATAGCCGTCCGACCACTGTGAAGATTCTAAGACAAGGTCTGGTTGGTCCCCAGGGCACACAGCCCCAGGGAGCAGTGGCTGTCAGAATCACCTAGTCAGTACAGGTTTACTGAGCAGAAAAGCCACAGAGCAAGGGACAAGGCAAGGGGTGCACAAGACAGGCCGCTTCCTGTGGGCCAGTACCAGGTGAGCACCAGGACCCCTGAGATCATGCCTAGTCAGATATTCCTTTGGCTGTCAACTCTTCATAGCCCCCGTGACTTTGGGAAGCTGCCCGAAGCCCACCCTGACCAGACCCACCTGCAAACACAGGGTGTAGCAGAGGCAGAGGGTATAATGCATGGGCAGCCCCTCAGGAGCAGGCCATGGCAGGGTGCTCCCCCACATCCAGCCCAAGGACTGGGCTGGCTGCCTTCTTCCTCCTCACACACTTGCTGTTATACCCCAGGGGCCCATTCCCAGGCTCCAGACCTCTGGCCAGCAGGGCTTGTCTAGCTGCTCACCCAAGCCTCTGGTTCATCTAGTTTTTGTTATCCACCTCTGTCTATGCCATCACAAGTCAGCAACCACAAGACAAGCAGGCTTGATTTAAAAAGGATCACACAGACAACAGAGCAAGGGAATAAATATGTGAATGGATGGAAAACAATCTACTCTATTGCTTTTTAGTTAATCTGGGAAATTCTTGATAGAGAAAGGCCGAAATGCTGAGCTTGATGGACAGTTGTGACAGTGTGAGGACCCTGTGGTCCTGGGCTTCACCTCACTCATCATGGCAAGTAACAGCAGCCTTGCTGGGTGAACCGTGTCTCGCCAAATCTCAGTCACTCAAGGGGGCTGCAGGGGCCTCCAGGGAAAGCAAAGGGAAAAGAAAAGAAAGCTACCAGGGCCAGGCATAGCAGCAAAGGCCTGTAATTCCAGCACTCAGGAAGCTGAGGCAGAAGGATTGCCACAAATTCAAGACCAGCCTGGGCTACACAGCAAGTTCGCCAGCCTGAAACACATAGTGAGACCCTACCTCAAAAACAAACAAACCCCAAAAAACTACTGAGAGTTCACAGGGACTGCTCTGAGGAAGGAAAAAGGCTAGGGATTACAGATCTATTTCCAAAGAGTGGTGAGCCCCATGCAGACTCTAGGCAATGTTCTCCCTGGCTTTGAGTCAAGACTTCCTTCACTGGAGACACAACCCTGATCTCCAATGGGAGGGCGGTGACACCCAGGAAGTACCCCTACTCCCAGGCCATAGTAGTTGCCAGGCGCCACACAGACATGGCTGGGATGGATCAGAATTGGGAATGCCAAGATAGCAAAAGCATGCATGCTATGTTTATCTGGACAGACATATTAAAAAAATAAAAAGACTGGCAGGAAAGAAACTATAGTGTTAAGAGATTTCTAGAGGTAACACACTTTGTCATTTATACTATTTTGGGTTTTTTGGCTAAGATTCCATGTATTTTTTGCTTATGAAAATATATTTAGAGTAGAGTAACACTTCAAATCATAGGTACTATATGCTGCTTCTAAAGTTTTTTAAAAATCTGATCTATACATTTGGTTTCAGACAAATTTGACATGAGTTTTAGGAATACATTAATCACATTCCGGAGCACAAAAGATCATTTTACTCCTTCAATGTCACAACAGACAGCCACAGAGTCATGATTCTCATCTGGAGGGGATGAGAACAAGGCACTATGACCACCATGCTCTCCCCTATCCTGAGGTAAAACTCCAGGGCACCAGGGTTGAGCTCAGACCCTACCTCCTCTACCTCTGACTAGGAGAGCTGGGCATGGACACTTAAAACCTGACGACACAGTGGCTGGAACACTAACAAGCTGGAGCTGCAATGCAGAGAACGCCCCCCCCTACCCCCCCCTGTTCAGAGCTTCTTTGGGGAGGACCCCGTTGCAGCTACCTAGGGAGGGTGGCAGGGCCTGGGGGCAGGCTGTTTCTTCCAGGAGGGGCAGCCATGGTGAGTGCATACCTGGAGTGTGGCGTAGGAGCCAAGCAGGGTCCAGGGGCCAGGCTGTGCAATGCCCAATCATAGCTCCCAGCATGTTGCCTGCTGGTGTTAGGTTTTTTTGAGCAGCTTTTTAAAAGAGGTCAGAATCAGGTCTGTATCCTACTGACAATTAGAGATCTCCTTTAAAAACACTGGTAGAGCACTTGCCCAGTATGTTCACAGCCCTAGGTGCAACTCCCACAGCACCTCAAAGGCAAAAACACAAGCACCTTCCACAGCTCCTGCTCCCACGTAACAGACACGTGACAGAAAACTTTAGGAACAGATACCACCAGGCTCACGATAGCCCCGCTGCCCATGCATAGCCTCCTCTCTGCCCTGAGGGAGCTGAGGGGGAGGATCCAATTCTGTTCTGGCAGAACACTCTGCCATCCCCGTAGGGAACCAGCACAGCAAAATCTGTGGGTTGTGCCTGAAGTAGCTCCAACAATTATCTGCAGGAAATCAATACAGATCTTTGCTTGGAACACACAGTGTGCCCCAAGGGACAGCATCTCCACACACTTCTCTGTAAGCAGAGCTCATACCCTGCAGCAAAGGCACCTGCCCTTGGTGTAACTCCTGAGTAAGTTTGGAAGAACTGTTTGGGTTGAGTCTAAGGTCTGCACTGGCAAATCTGCAACCCTAGGATACATGGTTACACTCAACCCCAAACTCTTCTATTTACCCTCTACATTTAAGGACATTAGACAGAAATCAAAACTCCCTTGATAGTAGGGCATTGTTAGTTTCTATTTAAAGCACTGCTTCCCCAAAAGTGGCAAAACTCAGACACCATAAATTCCTAGAAGTCTGATTACTCATCCAATACAACAATCAAATGCCTTTTAGTATATAATACATATTTTACAAGAACTTTATCATGACCAAATAAAAAAACCTAGTACAGATTTGCAAATAGTAACGTTGACCTTACTATTTCCATTCCCACCAGTATAAAGAACAAATTCTCTGTTAGCCAGTTTCTGCCAACTTTCTATAATCAAGTCTGTTATTGGCTGAATAACCAAACTCTTAAACCCAGACCCTAGAGAGCCTACAGTACTATGCTGCTACAGAGGGGTCTCAGACCTGAGATGCACCACTCCACTCACCTGTCTCAGCTTTGCACTTCCCAGGCCACCATAAAATCCACACCACCCAGCACCTAGAAGCTCCTCTGTGTGTCCCCTCCATGACCCTGCATTCCAGGTCACCTGGTGGTACCTCCATCTGTCCTCCCCCTCAACTCCTAGCTCACTGTTCCCCCACAGCAGCAAGCCTGGCTTCTGAACCTGACACAGCCAAATTCACCCTGAAAGAGCTCACATATAGCCTGCACAGAGTCTACCCTGTCCTGTTCCAGTGTTGTCTGTACCATCCTCAAAAGCACTATTCGTGCAGCAAACCTGTCACTGCCCCCCACCCAATTTCCTAAAGCAGGAGTTTCTAACCCCAGAGCCAGGGACTGGTCCACAGCTTGTTAGGAACCTGGCCACACAGCAGGAGGTGAGTAGGGGCAAGGGAGCAAAAACTTCATCAGTATTTACAACTCTCCCACCCCTGGCATTACCACCTGAGCTCTGCCTCCTGTCAATCACCAAGGCATTAGATTCCCATAGGAGTGTGGACTAATATGCCTATGCAAGTGAGGGATCAAGGTTTCAAGCTCCTCGGAATCATCCCCAAACTATCATTCCACCACCCCCGTGGAAAATGTGTCTTCCAGGAAACAGGTCCCTGGTGCCAAAATATTTAGGGACAACTGATACCTTTCCCCTTTCTCCCAAGCAACACACATACACATACTCTCTCCCTCCCTCCCTCCCTCTCTCTCTCTCTCTCTCTCTCTCTCTCTCTCTCTCTCTCTCTCTCTCACACACACACACACACACACACACACACACACACACACACACACACACAAAGCTTGGGAACACACACAGTCCAGGTTAATTCAACGTGCCTATAACACTCTAAGGTCAGCACAGACAGCACAGAAATCAAAGCATGTTAGGTTTTCCTAAGGAGAAAAAAAATAAAAATTTCTTTAAAAGGAAAAAAATGACATACTTTTTATCTCTCTCACACACACACACACACACACACACACACACACAAAGCTTGGGAACACACACAGTCCAGGTTAATTCAAGGTGCCTATAACACTCTAAGGTCAGCACAGACAGCACAGAAATCAAAGCATGTTAGGTTTTCCTAAGGAGAAAAAAAATAAAAATTTCTTTAAAAGGAAAAAAATGACATACTTTTTTTAGTTTAAAGGTACTAGATTTTTCAATGGTCACCTTTTCTAAGGATAGCCTCTTCGACTGCACATAGAACAAAGTATCTCCATCAGGACAGCTGTGGATGACTTTTCATACTATCAACATCTCTAAGAACAGCCACTCAGGGACCAATGCACACGGAGCAGCACCCTCACAACACCCTGACTGGGCAGACACTGAGAGTTCCTGGGCACTGACAGGTGCTATTTCTCCATCTACCTACCTGCACATTGTTCCCTGAAGATTTGTACATTTCATTACATATAAATTCAATCTCACAATAAAGACACCCACTAAAATCAGACATCATCATGAAAACAAACTCTTAAGAAAAATTGACACTTACCAAAATTCAGGAAAATCAGTTTTGCCTGTATCCCAGGGCACAGTCTGACGAGAAAGGGAATGGTGATATATAGCCCCAAGATACACAGAAGCACCTTCCTCAGCCGGAACCACAGCCCCTTCCGCCTGCAGGAGAGAAACAGTTCACAGGTCAAAGGGTGACTGGCACTCCCTTCAACTTTTTAATGGCATGGCCAGCATTATCCAACAAGGGCTACACGCAGTCCCTCAGAAAGCACTTCACCTGACATGAGACCCCAGCTGCCACTTCATCGTAGCAGAACAGCTTCTCTGGGCTTTGCAGTCACTGCAAGCTGGCCACAGTCCTGAGTTACTCATTAGCTCTCTGTGGGAAGCAAGCACACCCAGGACATCAGCAGAACCTGCCCAACAAGTGCTAGGGGAGAGAGCTAAGGGCTGCGAAAAGGGCTAGGGCTGCAAGAGTGTCCCAGTGCTTCTGCCCAGCCCCTCGCTGTCCCAGTCTCTTTTCCAGGCCTCAGGCTGGTGGGCATTCCCAGAGTCTCAAGGCCCTCTTCTGATCCCTAACACTAATCCTAAAACTCTTCCCAACCTCCTTGCAGAAACATCTCTAGCCCTGATTCTCAAACTTCTACAACGAAAATTTGAGGTTGCTGAGGCACATCTGTTTGTATAGTTTCTTTTCTTTTCTTTCTTTTTTTGGTACCGGGGATCAAACTTGGGATCTTATGCTTGTGAGGCAGGCGGCAGAACCACTGAGCTAACTCCCCAGCCCCCCAGCCATTTCTTACTGTTACATTAGAAGTTAACATTTTAAAATGTCTAGGGCTGCAGATATGGCTCAGTGATACGGTGCTTGTTTAGCACGCATGAGTCCCTAACTCCAAACTGGGCCACCAAAAAAAAGGCTATTAATCCATCAATAGTGACAATAAGCATTCCATTATACATTAACATAAACATTTGTTATGAAAAACAATTCTATTTTCTAGTACTAGAAATTTTAGCGAGAAGTGACATCCACAATTTTATACATTTCATTTTTCTGGTGCTGGGAATTGAACTCAGGGCTTTGCACACGCTATGTAAGCACTCTACCACTGAACTCTGATCCTAGCCCTTTCAGACATTTCTTTAGGCTGCACTGTTCAAGCAGAAGACAGAGATCATCCTGTCTGTTCCTGCATTCAGTCTGTCAAGACACTGGAAACACACTCAGACTTGGACCAGCGTGGAAAAGCAAATGAGCAAATCTCTATGTACCGGAAATTACTTTGGCCTTGCTGACCTCCCACACATCTGTGCCCTCACAAGTATGCGGGGCATGCTCTTCTAGAAAAATGTCAGTACTACCAAACTGGACCTTACTGGGACCAGTTATTTATTTCTGGATGTAAGGTGGTTCGAAAATCACACTGAACTACTGATACACACAACAGAGATGAACTTCAAAAGCATTCAGCTATGCTAAAAGAGAAGGCCACAGAGATTATACACAGTAATATTCCAATTACCTGAAATCCCATAAAAGGCAAAACAAAAGACACAGAGAAGCAAAACAGTGATTAGAAGGGCAGGGTAGAGTGGGACATTGACTGCACCAGGCTCCAGGGAATTTGGAACATTGACTGCATACATCTATCAAGACTCAACTGTACAGGTGGAATTGGGGAATTTTATTACATGTAAACAACACCACAATAAAACCATGTAAATATAAACTGATAAAGTTGATGACAAATATTCACTCAGGTGACATCATTTTCCTCCCCTACCCAGCAGTTCTATAAGTGGCTAACAAGCAGGTTGGTAAAAGCCTGTGTCCACATCTGCACTGTGCCCACAGCCCAGGGTTCAGACAATGGTACAGTAGGCATGTGACAGGCACCTGGCACCTGGGGACATCATTTGAGAATATCACCCAAGTGATCTGGTTTAGCCTAAGCTACCAGAGAAAGAGCCACTGGGCTGAGAGACTAAGCCAGGAATACAGGAATTAACTAGATGGTGTGGGATTTCTTAGTTACTTTCCTGTCACTGAGACACAATATCTGACACCCTCAACTTAAAGGAGAAGTTTATTTTGGTTCAAGAGTTTAGTCCATAGTTGGCAGGCTACAAGGCAGAATCAAGATGGCAGAGGGACATGGTGGCGGAAAGGTGTTCAACCCACAGTAGTGAGGAAGCAGACAGAGAGGAGAGAAGCTGAGGACAATGCCCCTAGTGACTCACCTCCAAACAAGCCCCAGTTTTTTCTTTTCTTTTTGGCAGGGTCTTGCTTTGTAATTTAGTCTGGTCTTGAACTTACTATGCAGCCCAGGCTAGCCTCAAAGTCATGGCAATTCTCCTGTGTCAGCCTCCCAAGGGCTGGGATTGAAGGTGTGTGCCACCACACTGACTATGGCCCCACCTTTTAACAACACATTTAGCTACTGAACTTATCAATGGATGAATCCACAGATGAGTACAGCACCCCAAGTTTCAATCACCTTCCAAACACATGAAACACCATTTTAGATCTAAATATCATATTCCACCCCAACCCCAAAAATATTTATGTGCATCTCATTATGTAAATGGCATTAGTTCATCTCTAAGAGTTGCCAAAGTTGTTAATAGTTCTAGCCCTGCTGAAAAGCCCAAAGCCAGTTTCCTGAGACTCAAGGCAAACTCTTAGCTATGAACCCTGATAAAACTGAAAAAGCAAGTTATGTGCTCCCAAGACACAAAGGCACAGAGTAAACAATCCTATTCCAAAAGGAAGAAATGGGAATAAAAAGGAACTGAACCAAAGTGTGACTGAAGCCCATCACCACAAATATTAAATCATGTAGCTCCAGGCCCAGAATCTAAGGCGCATGGAGGCAAGATGTGAGGGCTTTGGCAACTCTGCCCTTAACAGCCCTCACGGACTCTCTCTCAGGGTGGCTCTGCTCACTTTTTAAGGCTTTCCTCAAACAAAGTTTCCACATTCCTGGCATCTCTAACTTCGTGGGGTTTCTACTCACTTTTGGCTTTACTCTCACAGCTTCATGCACTGTCCTTGTGCACTGCCTGGCCTCCCAGGCCTTTTTTATTATTGTTGTTACCAGGGATCAAACCCGGGACCTTGAGCCTGCAAGGCAGGCAGCGGAACCACTGAGCTAAATCCCTGGCTCTCCCAGGCCTTCTTTTGAACTCTGGATGGAAGCCTTCATGACCCTGACTATTGCATTCTGCATGTCTGAAAACACTGTGAATGACACTAGGGTTTACCACCAGCTTGAGTAGTAGCCAGGCCCCCTAGCATCACGGCTGCAGAAGCCTCAAAGCGCCTATATGGCCGAGCACTGTGAAATGAATCCCAGGGAACCAATTCCCCAGACAGCCCTTCTCAAGCAGGCATCCCAGGGAATCTTCTCAGGTGAATGCTTTACAGTTTTGTACCCTTGAATCTGTGAAGAGTGGAGTCTTGCTGACTCCTTAGATGTCCTAAAGCCACCTATTATCCTGATGCAAAATACTTGGGTTCTTTTTAATGCTAATCTTTCCTTTGCCAACCCTGCAGGCTCTTTCTTTCTGATAAAACTGCAAACTGTTTAACATGTCCTTCTTGTCCCTGTCTTATTGTGTATCTGACTAAAAGCATCCAGCAGTATCCATGACACAGGTAAATACTGGGCTGCTTTGAAATTTTCTCTGCCAGATTAATTAGTCCACTCACTTTAACCTCACTCTTCTGCAGAATCTCAGGCCACACCCAGACCACAGGCCAGGGTGCTGGACTTTGCTGGGCCCTGGTGACCCTCTGTCCCACAGAGGATGGCCTTTGCATCTCACCCTACCTCTGTTCTGGCCTCTTTCTGGAGAGGAGGCTCCAACCACATGCCCAGAGCACCCAACATACTTTATGAGATTTTCTTTCACACCATGACAGATCTTAGATACGTTTGGACAGAAGACTTCTTCCACAAATTATCTGAGGCAAGGATAATGTAGACAGACAATTTACAATTTATTGCTGCCCCCTAGAACGGTAGATCCTAAAGCAGTCTTTGTTTAAACCCTACATAAAGGATGTGAGGTGGCTGTGCCCTCACCCAAGAAGACTGACGCAAGAAGAGAGGGACCTGGGGAGGTTAGGTTCTGAGCACGGAACTGTAGCTAGCAGGACAGGTAAGAAGGCTACAGGCCAATATTTGGCCAGTTCCCACAGCAGCTCAGTGCCAGACTGCAAGCCAGCCCTGCCCCGGGCATCACCTGCCCAACCCTTGGCCTCACTAGGATCCAGCAAGGCAAGGACGATTCTGACACTGTATATGTGTGTGTGTGTGTCCATATCCCACACTAACACCACAGATTCCATATATGAAGTAGTGACACCCAGAAGAGAACTCTAGGGGAAGGGAAGAGATGTGTGAAGTAGATTTTGTGAAGTTTTGTTATTAGTCATATAATGCCAACCCATCAATAGTCTTTAAAGAAGGGCAACCTGACCTACAAATCACTTTAAGGGTGTTTTTTAAAACACAGTTCTGAAGCTGGGTATGGTGGCACAAACATACAATCCTTACACTCAGGAGAGCCTAAGGCAGGAAGATTTCAAGTTCAAGCCCAGCCCGAGGTAGTTACTTAGTAAATACCAAGCCAGCCTGGATTATAACTCAAGACCTTCATTCGAGAGTTGCAAATTAAAACAGCGCTGAGATTCTATCTCACTCTAGAAATAATGGCTGTTATCAAGAAATCAACCAATAACAAATCCTGGGGTGGGGCCTAGGGGGAAAAGGAACCCTTCTCTACTGTTGGTGGGAGTGTAGACTGATGCAACCACTGTGGAAATCAACGTGGAGATTCCTAAAATTAGAGGTTCCATTTGACCCAGCTATTTCCCTTCTTGGTTATCTTCCCAAAAGAATTAAAAGCATCGTACCACACAGATATATGAATATCCATGTTTATAGTGGCAGAATTTGTAATAGCTAAATCTTGGAAACAGCCCAAATGCCCATCAACCAACAAATGTATAAAGATGTGGGGTTTTTTACACAGTGGAATACTACTCTGCCATAAAGAAGGATAAGTTTAAGACATATCTAATTAAATGGACACAACTCAAAACCATACTCTTAAGTGAGATAAATCAGACACCCATGTTTAAATATTGCATTGCTTCTCTAGTTTGAGAAACAAAAAGTGGAAATAAGGACTAAAATGTATAATAGACATTGGGAAATGGGAAGAATTTTTTCAATTGAGAAAGAAGGCAAAGGAGGGGAGAGGGGAGAATGAAAAAAGGGAAGGGACAAAAAAGAATAGAAGGAAAAATT